TTGACAATAGAGTAGTGTATTAATTTATGTAAACGATTTATGTATTTAAAGACACGATTTTGACCTTAATAAAGTTTCTTCAGACTTCGATCTCTTATATACTTGACTTGTTATAATTAAAACTATCGAATTCTCACCCTGATCCCTTGATATAATCATCGTGAATACATCTTCACGGCATTATCTCAGATTACTTATCGTGAACTTACATTCACGGCTTTATTGGAATTCTTATTTGCGTGTGCCCCGTGCTTGGCATCATTGTTAAAATCTACTTAAACATAACCTGCATTATTGATAATCCCGATTTAATTAAGTAAACTATCGTCCTTGCTAAATATAACTTTATTATATTACCTCTCTAGTACTATACATCGTATATCTATCCCGATATCCCTATCGTTAATACATCTTAACGATCCTATATATTTATTCGTTATATCATATAATTATTACAATTATAACTATCCACCTATCGTTGTACCTAATCACTCCCTTATTAACCCATATCCGTCCCAATTCCATATATAGAAACCCCCATTTCTTAATTAATACATCTGTCGTTTACTATTGCTGATCTAATTCCGGCCCAATTACTGACGCTCTTCCGAAATTACGATAGTAACACCGGGTTAAACAGGTCAGAATTCAAAATATACAAAAACCTACTAAAATGCTATATTAAAACAATTTATCTAATATAACTTTGTATGGATAATTTACTATAAAATAGTAAAGCTCTTACCCGGGCCAGCTTCTTGATGGGTCATGGGTCCCCAAAGTAGAAAATGAATAAATTCACATCAAAGCAAGGTCGAGAAATTTTTCAAAAAATTTCAGTTTAAATATTTGGAGTCAGTCTACTCTTTCTACTAATAGTTCTAATTAAGAATCGTTACATCAATATTTAAGGATTACAGCTGTTTTCATAAATTCTGAAAAATCTGGTAAAAATTGACCGACCTAACATTTGCCGATTCGATAAGCTTTGATTCAGCAGTGATAAACTTTGAATCAGATTGGTCGGTAAACAGCTATAATAAATTCTGGGACAATCGAAAAATTTACAGCTGTTTTTGGGACACTTGTAAACAATTAGCCGAATGATTTTTCGGCCGATCCGATTATATTTTAGCATAATAGATTCAATAAAAATTGTTACATACATACATACGTACATTCGTACCAATTTTTATTGAATCTATTATATAAAATCGAAAAGCATAGGTACGACTGGTCAAGTGACTGGACGAATGCCGGCTAGCCAAAGGTGCCGGAAATAAATTCAATTAAAGGACTTGAAGTCCGCAGAATACACAATATGAGTAATTTTAGCTAAGTAATTCGAACTGAAACGATGATATGCTCCTAGAAAAAATTAGCAAGTGAGATTGCGCCAGGTACCGTAACAGTAGAATGAGCGAGAGGCAGCATCAGCCGGTGATTTCCCACCTGCTCGAAGCAGGCTGGCTGTTAAATAGGAAATGGCAGAATCAGGAGACTGTTCTAATGATTCTGGTGTTGAGATTCTGCCATTGTCCTATGTTCTGTTGTGGTGGTCATGTTGTGCCCAATTTGTGGTTGGTATTCGTATTAGCACGGTTATGGCTCAACGGTTCTTGTTTTTTTTTTTGACTTTATTTAATTTAATTTGTTTATTAGTTTGGCTATGTTACTATTGTCGGGTGACTGATTGGTTGTATGATGGGGTTAATGTGGTGTTGGTATTAAGCGCTATCATGCTGTTATTATAATTGTTATTAGTCGTTTTAGCTCTATTGCTGCAGGTATTTTTTAAATACTTAGAAGCTATACATAGTAGAAACTAATTGCGGCTTGCCGAAAATATTTTATTGCCGCTTTTTAGTAGAAATAAAGCAGCAACTGTTACAATTTAAAGCCGAAACAAAACTTAATATAATGCCATAATTTAAATTAAAAGCTGCTATTTAAATATTATGAATCTTGTAATTGTTAGCTAAAATTCTATAGTTATGTATACATATATTTATATATAAATATATATATTTTTAACTATTTTATAACAACTATATTGTTCACATATTTATGAATAGATGCTCAAATATCAAAGCTATCTATCAAAGCATCAACATCAAATTCTCTATTGCCATGGTTCTCTTTAATATTGTCTTTGACAACTTCTGAAATAACAACACTATCAAGTGCCATAGGTTGTACTATGAAATTAGGTGAATTTAAGTTCATCATATTACCAATTGTTACTTTCATTTTCTTCTAACATATAAAGCTCATCGTCTTTATTTTTTAATCCCATTGATACTGTTGCATCTAATATTTTTTTGGCATAATTCATCTAGGGTAATTCAATAGTTGCTGTCACGATCTTTAGGTTGGCTCTAGTGCTTCGAAAAATCAAATCAAATTTTGATTTTGAATTAAATATTTAAAATTATTTACTAAATTAATTAAAAATTTGAGCAAATAATTTCAAATATTTGGTTCAAATTCAAAATTTGATTTGATTTTGCAGAGTACTAGTTGGTCTTTTATAATATAATTTCACACTTCCTTTGGAGGTCTACCAGTTGAATTTTTTTCTTTTTGCAAAGAATCAATAAAACTCGATGAAGAAGCAGAATTCATAGTTTGAGTTAAAGTATTTTAAAATATTGTACATATGTATTTTTAATGAGTTGACTTTTTAATTTAATAAATATTGTCTATTTTTATAAATTTATTTATTGATATAATAAATGATATACTTTTTACTTAATTGATATAATGAATAATATACTTTTTTAACGAATAACATATTTTTATACAAATTTAGTAAATAAATTATTAATTTTGGCTAAAGTTTAGACTTTCAGCACTTTTTGATACTTATAGCATTAATTTTAGCTTGAGATATTACCTATTATTTTGGTATTAATTTTGGCATTAGAAAATGCCAAATACCAAAATACAGGTAGAAACTATGCCATAGGCCTAAATATATCTGTAAAATAAGTCTGAGTTTCATTTGCTAATTTTTTGAACCAGTATAAGCTGAAACTTGCATGACTAGTTCAGTTGTATCCCTGGCTTTGAAGCTGTGACCAGCAACATCTTCTGAAGGTAAGAGTTGCTTAAATTTATGAATAAAGTATCATTTGTGACCTATGAGTTATTTGCCCTAATGAATAGCAAGTCGGGGTGGAAGTTGCTCTTTGAACTACATATACTTTCAAAGCTTCGATCAAACATAATTCGTTATATGTCAGATTGATAATGAAGAACATCCGTTCAGCTGTTTTATAGTTTTTGGTACATGCCAATTGGATGGTAACAAAGGTGTGATAGTCCACTTTCTCAAACTTTAATGCCTTGAAGGTTGGCATCTTGTTTCAATCTTGCTATATTGTGGAGAAAAACTCTTTTAAATGTGCTAAGCTATAGAATGCTGCTAGAGCTATTGCCCAGAATATTATATTGTCTGTTTTGCTTAAATTTAGGATCATCTTTATTATTTTCAGGTGATCATGTGTAATGTGTACTTTTTGATTGATAGATATGTGTTTGTGATTCTGTCAATATTCTTTGTAATTCTCTAATATAGGGGTTATTGTGTGTTTCGTTCTACTCGAGATGGTTCATTTTGTGATGTTGGCTTAATACTAATAAGTATAATAGCAATGTTGGGAGTGCGACTTTTTTATGCATATGTGTAATAAAATTAATCAAATACTCTGTAGTAATAGATCAAATGTTGCTTTGCAGCTAGTTCATTGATGCTTGTCTACCAATGTCTCGTTTTTTTATTACTGACTCATAAGGTAGATATGCCTAATTCAATGCACTAACAATATCTTACAAAATGTCAATCAGAATTACATGATATTAATACCATTCAAATCTTCCTCAGTATCGCCATTAAAAATGTCACTTTTATATTATTATCGAAAAAAACTTTTAAATCATTTATGTTAGAGTTAGCATTTAAACTAATGTTAAAGAATAAGAGAAGTATAGTAAAATTACTCAAGGAATTTTTTTTGTTAGTGCACGAAAGATAGTTTCTTATATGAATTTTTAAGAAATAAATAATTTTTTACAAAATTGATGTTTGTTTTGGATTTTCATGATCATGTTACATTATGTAGATCGTCACATGAAAGTGATATTTTTGATAGCAATACAGTAGTAGTTACTATTCGATTTATATTATTAAGACGAATCGAATAGTATTAAATCACGCGTTTCTGATTGATAGTTTGTAAGATATCATTATTTAACCAAAATAATCTATGTATATATAATTTTTAAAAATTAACATAAAATTATAAATAGCTTTTGATATATTGGTCTATTTAATTGATTTTACTACCAAAATTAGTGTTCGAAAAAGTCAATACGGATCAGATTCAGATTTGTGCGAATCCAAATCGTCAGAGTAGATTTGGCTTCTAAAACGTCAGATTGGGCCTGGATTAAGCTGGATTGGGCCTAATTTTAGATTATATCTTTATATAATCACTCTATATGATAAATTCGAATTTGTTATATGATAAATTTGAATATATTACTCCTTGTGCCACAATATAAGTGATAAATTCGCATTTGTTACATGATAAATTCGAATTTATCACTTATATTGTGACAAATATATGTAACAAACTGTCAGATTAGCACGGATTACTCTTGGATTCAATCCGAATTACGGATTCGGATCAGATTCGGATTAATCTCAGATTAACCAGGATTTTTAATCCTTTTCAAACACTAACCAAAATAATCGCTTTGAAGAGACGATTTCAACAAACTCAAAATTGCTAAAATCCAATCACAGAAACACAAGATTATTAAGATTTTTGTATCACTTTTGATAAAAATTAACTAGTACTTAACTAAAATTTTTATCAAAAATAATACAAAATCTTAATGTTTCATGATCTTATAATTAAATTTTAATGATTTTGGGCTCATTGACTTCTCTCTTCAAGGTGGTTATTTTGGTAATAAAATTATTAAAAACAGACTAATTTACTAAAAGTTATTTACAATTTTATATTAATTGTAAAATTGCTTTATATTAGTTACACAACATGTCTCTGTCAATAATCTTCAATAGTAAATTAATTTTGTATAACATAAATCATAGCGATTTTTTTTTAAAAATACATTAACTAATTAATATTTACTAATACTGTTATACTAGTAGTTGTAATATTGTACAATTTAGTTGTAGAATATTATTTCATATTATATATTATATTTTGTATTTTATCTTTTATATTTTACATTAGTTAAATTAT